CCCCAGAAAGGACTGACAGAGTGCTTTGCATAGATACAGAGTCAGAGGAGCAGGACCAGGGAGGCCCCACAGTAGGGAAAGGGGCTCCCCCAGCCCCTCCTGGAGGCTGTGAGGAGGGGGTGTTTGGTCAGGGCTCTCCATGGGGGCCTCACAGGTCACTCTCGCCATACAGGGCTGTAGAGAAGGACTTGTAGTCAAGGGCACCAGGCATTGCATCAGGGCCCTGGTATGGTGCCATGCGGGCAATGCAGTACTCGGCCTGGTCAGGGGGCAGCTCTCTCCGAAGTTCCTCAGCTGTGATGAAGTTCTGGGGACAGCAGGGAGGGACTTTGGGCCACCTGCACCCACAGTGGCCCCCAGCCCCTCATGCCCAGTCCTGCCTGCAGAGCCTCTTCCTGTTGGCCCCAGGTGCTCAGAGGAGTCTGGCTTACCTTGTCCCCAGCCAGGACCTTGAAGGAGGCGATCACCTGGTCAGCTGTGTCTGTGTCGGTGGTCTCCCTGGACATGAAGTCGATGAAGGCTTGGAAAGTCACAAGGCCGCTGTGGTTGGGGTCAACCACACTCATGATGCGGTTGAACTCAGCATCGCCCTGTTAGGCAGGAGTGGGGCAGGGGACAGGCAACATTAGAGTGGGGCAGGATGGCGGGGCTGGAGCAGCAGAACCCAGCTAGGAGGGCAGGGCCCGACCCCAGGGCACACGCCAGGTTGTCAGCCTGCCTCCAAGGGACCAGTGCCTTCTCCTCTTCCCCTCCCACATTTTTGGGAAGTGGGGAGTGAGTGGGGTGTAGATCAAACAGGTCTGCTGCTCCTCAGCCCTAGGCTCACAAGTTAGCTCTGGAGGAGGGGCGGGAGAAAGAGAGAAAACAGAAAGAAAAGGGGAGAGAGCGGAGGCCTGAGTTGCTCTCTGCAGACTTCTGAGAAAGGGGGTGGGGGGCTCAGGGAGTCATCGGAGGGACCCCAGCCCAGCAGGTACAGCAGGAGGAGGAGAGAAGGGAGGCTGCACTGATCTGGTGGAGGGGTGTCCCCGAGGACCTTGAAACTGGATGGGGGTGGCACGAAAAGGAGGAAGAGGGGGGAGGGAGAGGAGGTGTAGGAGGGGGGAAGAAGGGAGCAGGAGGAGGAGGGGGGGAGGAGGAGGAGGAGTGGCACAGCAGCGAGGGAGGCAGAGGCTGCATACCAGGCTGTATCCTGTGGAGATAAGCAGAGCCCTGAAGTCATCGGAGTCCATGCTGCCTGTCTGTTTCTGCTCGAGGACGCAGGGACAGCAGAAGAGGCCAGGCCCACAGTAGGCAAGAGGGGCAGCCCCATGTGCACAGCAAGGAAACAGGACAGTGGCAGGAGCAGGGGAGACCGAGGCGGCCCCAAGAGACCAGGTAAAGGGAAGAGGTCCAGAAGGACACAGGTAGGAAGGAGGCAAGAGAGCCGGTAAGATGGCAAACACAACGGAGAGGAGTGAAATGGCAAGGGCGGGGAGACAGAAGGAGAGAGAAAGAAGAGCAGTTAATGCCATGGTCCGCTGGGGCCCAGGGTGCGCGTACCTGCCGGTCATTCTCCACGTCGTAGCCCAGGCTGATGAGGCAGGCCTTGAATTCCTCTGGCCCCAGCGCCCCGCCGTGGTCCTGCCGGTGTCCGAAGGCAGGTGTGCAAGGGGTGGTGTGGAAACCAGGCCGCACAGAGGTGGGGAGAGGGGCCAGGGTTACATGCAGAGGGCAGGGGGAGGAGAACACATGGAGGAGGGAAACACAGAATTAGAGGTGATGTGGACAAGGACGCTGGGGCAGATGGAGGGGTGTGAGTGGCCTGGAGGGCAGTCAGAGGCTCCTCCCACGTCCTTGGGGCCAGAGCAGGGTGGGGAGTTGAGTGGTAAAGAATTGAGAATCGAGTACCAGGACTCAGAGGGAGGGGAGAGCACACCTTGCCTCCAGGGTCTGGGGTGGCAGAAAAGGGATTGCACCCCATCCTGTATGAGACATCAGGGTCCCTGCTTGACGGTGCAGGGCGGAGGTTGCACACTCCTACCCACAGGTGGAAGACGGGCGATGACACATCAGGCCCAGCAATGAGTGGGGACTGGGGCAAACTCTGGCACTCAGGCCCTTCCAAAGGGGCTGCCAGACAAAATCTGTGTGTATGTGTGAACTAGATTCATGGCCAGTTCTCAACTCTTGGGTGTGCTGGAACTTTGTCCCAGGGTCTCGTGGGCAGGTTGGCAAGGAAGCACAGCCTGAAGCAGGGCTCAGGACCCCCTTCTATTCCCAAGGGAAGTGCTCATGATGTGGTCGAGGTGATGTGTGTGGGCACC